TAAGTTAAATATAAGACCACCTGAAGAAAGCTGTTTTCTAGATGAAGGAATAATGATATTACACATGTTAACATTCATCAAGGATAAAATTTGTGAAACTCCTGATCAATACCATATTTTTTTGACATTTAATCAGGGTTTTAAAACATCTTTGCTACTAATACATATTAACTTAAAATGACCTTGAAGGTCTGATTTTGGTCTTGCTACCTCATAAAAAGGCTTTCATTATTATCATAAAACTATACAGGGTACAACAAACAAGTGTCTAAATCACTTGCTAAGAAAACAATGATATGTAGCTTGGAAGAGACCAGTTCAGCTGTTATCCCCAGAATATCATACCACCTCCATGCCTTTAGTGCATGTGACACAGATTTAACAACAATTTGATGCTTTCTAAAAGGTGCTTTTTAAGATGTGGCACTCCTCACAACTTTTACAACATAATATCTATGAAAGAAATTATTGGAAACTTTCCACAGAAATTTCATGGAGATGTATCTTTTTTTTAAGCTTGAGTGCCACTGCCAAATTAAAACAGAGCACTAGTCAATTACCTCACTCAAATAATAACCAGGCCTATTTCTGAAAATTATTCAACTTTATGATTCTTAATATCAATAGTTAATTGTAGAAATTTTGAGTAGTATATAAGGTGTAAACTCAGTTAAGAACATATTATCATTATTACCACTGCTAGTAACTTACATATCTTCTGGAAGCCATCTTAGAAGTACATCTTCCTCCCCAGACTTCTCTTCTGTTCTTCTTCCAAGAACCTGTGGTATATTATTAAGTCAGCAGAACTAATTAGGTTGTTTGCCATCATGTCATTAGTTCTCCGATGTAAGGGTCAAATTAAAATTTCCTTTTCCTTATTGTCTCTCTTTCCAGGCTCTAGCAATTTTAACAACAATGCACAAGAATGCCAGCACATGATTAGAAATCTGCTTTCCCAATGTTCTAAGCAAAACCCCTTTAAGTCCATTCTTCTGCACACATATCACTCCAAGAATATCCGGGAATCCAACATACTTTGTAAACAAAAATTTTGCTCAGAAAAGCTCAGACATACCAGATCCTTTTTATCTCTTTGTTCGAGAGGGATCTTTACACAATCATTTAGTAAAGTAAAATCTTATTTGAGGGATTTCAGTTATGTGATCCTTCAGTATACAGAAACACGTATCTGAGAGAAATTTCTGAGGTAAATTTGCTACCTAGAAGTATGTAAAAAATATTCAAATCTTTTATTTGTCAGAGACCACTTGATCCATTCAGATGATTCCTGATCCATTTATGATGGGAGCTTAACCCTTTACACCCTATCATCATGATGTATTTTCTCCCTATTGTTCTCTATACATTTCCTAAGGTGCTAACAAGGACACTTTGTTTAAGAATTGAGAACTTCTTTAGTTGGTGATCATTTCCTTTATTCTCATGACCTTTATGTGTAATTCAGGGTGCTATTGTGAGGAGAAATTAGACCTTTAAACTTCACATCAAGAGGGGTCTGTGCATGGGCCACCTACTATCTTTCTAGCCTATCTTAGATCTTTAAAAGAACAACATGACATCTATCAAGGGCTATGACTAGAAAAGATCAAGGTCCATTTAGAGCAACCTCTAAAACTTTGTAGCTAATTTAAATGCTTTCCCTGACTGTTTGTAGCTACCAATGATAATTTTATGCTTTTAGATGGAGACAAGCAGTGGCAATAAAGTTTCTATCAAAGGAAACAACATAGATACTTGAGTAAAGGCAACAACAACATTTGAAAGCTTCTCCCACTGGTGTTGTATATATTGATGTATAAATTTAACCTTGGTTCTCCATTCATTTTCCTATATTTCAATCATTTCATCCTTTGAGAACACAGATTAGCTTTCCCCAAAACAACAACCACAACAACAACGTCAAAACTTAAAACCAACATGCTTTCTTCAACTCAATCCTCTTCAATGACAGGGATAAAATACTCACCTTACTTTGAAAAACAATATTTGCACCATCAATGCCAAGTCTGTAGCATGACACAGGCATCACATGTGGTAGCTTCTCTTTTATGCTGCTTACTGCATGCTGGTCAATGAAATCTTCCTTAACTGTCAAAGTTGCAAAATAATCAAGAGCTAAGTGTTTAAAAATTGAAATGTGTCAGATCTTATTGCCACTTTAATTGCTAAATGACTTCTATGAAGTACTGCACAATTTATTCCAACAACTATCTAAAACCACAAACTGCAGAAGTTAGATTCTGTAAAATTTCCTGAAACCTCTGATATATTCCTGTTCAATGTGTTTGTCCAAACAAATGTCAGTTTATAAATTATGATTCCCTCCACCAAAATTCTCACACTGTAATTAATATACAATGGTTCTGAAAACCCAAAAGGTCATTCCAGTTGAATCCTCAACTGATTGAATTGCTGCATCTAAGAAGCAGAAAATCAAATTTCATATTTAATCTGGTACCTATTAAGGCTTATTCTGTGACAGAGTGGTGGTTCATACAATAGAGACCTTTGAAATCTTGAAGAGGTGTTTCCTATATTTCATATTTAGTAGACTGACATCTCGCTGACGGTTACATCAAAAATTTGAAGAGACTAACTTGATGATGACATTCGCTTAAGAAACCTACGTGAGGTCAAGCTTTCCTTTAAAAGCAAACAAAAAATTTCGTGTTTCTGACACTTAACTTTAGTTTATTAATTAAGTACTTTCAAACCCTCGTTGAACTTGCTTAACCAATTTCAAAAGACTGAGAGACGATCATAAAAAGACAAGTTTTCCTATGTCGTGTCAAGTAAGAGTTAAAACTCTTTTATAAAGATGACTTAAGAAATCAAACTAACCTTGAGGCGGTGGTTTCGCCTGCCGAAGGTTCTTCATTTTCTTCTTTTTCTTTTTCATTACTTTCTTGGGCGAGGAATCGTTATCTGACTTCTGTCTTTTTGTGGGCTTAGCGTCATTAAAATGCGAGGGCACATGCCTGGCAAGACCCTCTCTCGAAGAAAATGTCATGGAGCATCCACTTATCATACACTTAAATGGCTTAGCACCAGTATGAACGTTTACATGCTTCGCAAGCCACGTGTGTGATAAACTCGGTTTGTCAAACACTTTGCAGCCTTCCCACAAACAGACGAAGACGTCTTGATGTTTAGACATTGGCTCAACATGAGCAGTCTTGACGTGTTCCGATAATTCAATAGCGTTTTTTAAAATAACATGGCAAGAAATCCACTTGCATTCTACACCACATTGATCCTTATTTACAGAAGATTTAGATCCTTCTCTCCTTGTCCTATCATCAGACGAAAAAATGAAAACCACTTTAGCAACGGTTCGGCATTCTGGTTAACTACCGTGCGTGAGTGCTAAAATAGCGTGACAGCTAAGCGGAGAGTTTAAACTGGTACTCTGATTGAACGAATGCTGAAAACAAAATCATTAGATTCGCATACTTACTCCTTCAAGTCCACTCCTGTAGATGGCCCTTTGAAATTGCCTAATTCTTTAATTTTGGGACGTATCAGAGTAGTGTTAGCTTCGTTAGATAAACTAGTCTCAGACGAAATGAACGCAGGAGAACCTTCGCGATTAGGGGATTGTTTTGAATCGTTTACTGAACAGCTTTCATTCCCTATTATCTCAAGTTCTGGTGTACTACAAAAGCTGTTAGGCGTTCCATCTCTCGGCGATCCAAGGCCGATCGTGGTCTGACAAATTGGCGACTCCAATCTATCTTCGACGTCCGCCATGTTTTGCTAAGGGAATCACGTGGAATTCAAAGTGTTTTGTATAATAGTAACCAATCAGAGGGCTCAACGGTAATTAATGACAAGAAAGCAAAAACAGCAAGGAATTTTACTAAAAAAAATTCAGATAGTTTTAAGTTTGGCTGTTAATGTGTGTCTTATTTTGATAACATAAATTCTTTTAGCTTGGAAGTTATATCAAGTCTTCGTGAAGTAAACGACCTCTTAACGAACCCTCCGACAGAACAGTGAAAATGTAATCGCCAAAACTTTGAAAAAACATGCTTAATTTACCAGCTCTGTTGAAAAGAGAAATATCATTAAGGAGTCAAAATGATAAGATTCTAACAAAATAATCGGAAAGAGTAGTAAATATAAAATGCGAAATGGCGCGCTGATTTCCATATTAGGACATATGAAGCAGCCGCGCCTGGTCTGGACACGTGTCGGCGTTGACGGTCATAAATAGCCGCCATCTTGGTTAAGCAGGGCGAAGCTTTGTTGATATATCGAGCAACTTCAGCTAAAACTCGCTCTTTACATTCAGAGCAAGGATTTCTAAGCTAAAGGCGCCATAGGATACCAGGCAAAGTATGCGCTATTTCACTGTTAGGTTACATTTGCATCTTTCTCGTAGGGATTTGCCGTAAGCAGTCGCGTCACCTTTTGAATACAAATTGACAAGCACGCGGTCGTCTTGTTATGAAAAGTGCTGCATTATGTTGTCCTTAAGTTGATTTTTTTCAGAAATATCCCCTGTGCCTTCTAAGTTGTAGAACAAAAGTTTTAATCATATTTTAGGAAAGGCAATCTCCAATTTGTTTTCAAACTCTTTGAAGGTTATATCTTGTTTTGTTTGTGTTTTGTATTAACGATGAAAACTCCCCAGACGTTTTGCTGCTTTTACAATGCTTACTTTGCATTTCTCTGAAGACTGAAATGAATTAGCCACCTTTTAACGAAAGGTTGTTCAGTGATGACAAAACGAAGAGGCTTAGGCGTCCTTACGTTATGAGAATGAGCTTATCTTTCATACTAAAAGCTGACTTCTTCAAAAAACACGATTCTCAAATAAACATATACAATGTACTTAAGGTGTCACTGAATCAGGTACTTCTTATTTGTTTGGTTTGATTAATTAGTTGTATGCTGAGGACTGTTTCTCTCAACAAAAGTTTGGGTACCTATACTATATGCATGCCCTGGCATTACTTGAAACAATGACTTGGCCTAACTAAATGCATTTTTGCGCTTCCGTTATGCAGCATTCCAGTACGCCAGATTTGCGTGGCGCAGGCAGCAGTGAGTTGTACGCAGAAACCTTGCGACAGGTTAGCAGACACCGTCTTGGCAGCATTTGCAGCACTAGTCTGCGATTCCATTTAATCTGGTGAGCGCACTTTGACTGTAAGCATTGAATTTGAGAGATAGCAAAGCGCTATTTTGTAGATCACAGTCAAACCTATTTTAAAAGAAATGTCGCAAGAATCAGAAAACAAAAATGACACCAACAATAACACTACTGGAAGGAGTGAGGAAGGAAGTGGAAATATCTGTCGTGATTATCAGCGTGGTGTGTGCTCTCGGGGATCAAAGTGTAAATTTAATCACCCAGATGGTATGGGAACAGAGGTTACAAACAGCCCAATGATATGCAGAGACTTTCAAAATGGAAAATGCAGCCGTTCAACCTGCAAATATTTACACCTTTCCAATAATGAAGAGAAGATATTTCTTCGCACTGGTCAAATACCTCCAAGGCGAGATGGTCCCTTCCCATTTAGAGCAAGAGGAGAACAAACCCGTGCAGGACCAAATGATCCTGTCTGCAAAGATTTTCTGAACAACAAGTGCACAAGAGGGCAAGGCTGTCGTTATCGTCATGTTTTTGAAGAGGAAGGAGAATTTATGGGCCATGGTTATAATGGTCATCCCAGTAAACGTCGCCGTGATTCTTATGAAGGACACAGCTACTACTACCTCATGGATGAAAATGAATCACTGCGTCGTCGAATATCTGATCTCCAAAGGCAGGTGGCTGACCTGAAGGCCACCAACGAGGTTCTTTTGGAACAAAATGCAAAGTATCGCAATCAGATAGGGGAACGCAGTAGCTATAATGGTAGTGGAGGTAGCAGCAGTTCAAGGCCAGGTGAATATTCATCAACGTATGGTTCAAACCAGTCTTACAGCACTTCTTATCCACCAAGGGAGACCTACTCTTCAAAGGATGCATACAGCAGTTATGCCCCTCCAAAAGATCCATACTCTACAACCAGTCAAAGTGGTTCATCTTACAGTGGATCAGGAAATTACACTTCAAACTCTGCCTATGGTGCTGGTTATACTAAGTTTGATTAGAGGGGCGAATGCTGTTTTTTTTTTTTTTATCTATTTCTTGGAACTTTACATGCCCTAAGCCACAAGTAATCAACAACATGAGTTTTAAGCACACTCAGTTTTGCATCTGATCAGCAGTTCATGTCTTAGTTGGTCGGGTGTCTACGTGTGACAATTTTGATCATTTTAATTTTGTTCCTTGAGAAAACACATGCATTTAGATGATGTATGACAGTCACAAGAACTGGACTGTATCTAGATAAAACTGGGCAGTTTTTTATGGCCCAGGATAATTGGACTTTTGTTACGATACTTAGCACTCACTTTTTTTAAACACAATTGTTGTAGTTGTCTGAGTTGACATAGCAGGCCTGTTTATTCTGTGTGTATTATTATCAGCAACTAGTTATCATTGGATAGGTCTTTCCACGTAAAGTGATGGCTCATTAGTGACAAGAACAAGTAGTGGTCTTGGAGCCACAAATAGAGTTTCATGGAAAGTCTATTGAAATTATTTCAGACAATATGGACAATGAAGGATTAAATGAGTATGCTTATCTAAATGATTGATCCTTTCTCCTTAACCTTTGACTTTTTTAGTGATGTTAGATTTAATATTTGACATCCCAAATGTGAATTTAATGCAAAAACACAAGTTTTTGGTATAGGATGTTTGGTTAACTCCCTTTAGTGATTAACTTATAACAAGTGATTAGCATGTAACTTCTCCCTATACACTAGTGAACAGGTGATCAAGAATACTCAAATTTGTCACGTAGAAGTCATTTTCAGGATCTGACACCAAACTCTTGGAACTAATTTTTCAAGGAAGTATGTAGTGACTAGAGGGAAGAATTTAAGGATGGAAATATTGGTGATGGAAGTGGAGACACTACTAGTGAGGTAGTGTGGCATTACCCTCCAAGTTTTTATGAATGAATGATATTTGGTGTTAAAAATTATCTGAAGGATTCCTGTCTTTTTAGTTAATTTTTTATTCTTTAGCATAAAATGTTACTTACACACTTGTTAATTTATGGGAGTGTGAGACTCCATCAGTCATTGTGTCTTTTTGTCTATTCTGCTAGTAAACCTTTTGTTGATTATTACCCATAGCTCACTAGTCAATGGTGGATGGTTAGTTGAAGTTTAAACCCCAACTGAACAGCTTGTTTGTTTGTTTTTTCAGACTTTGAAAAGAAATGTTGTCTGGGTAGTTGAAACTTTTTCTTTAATGTGACCAAAATCATGATTAATCAAATGTACTTTGATCATGGTTTCATTTCTTTGTAGGGGGTTTATTGTCTAAAAATGGTTTCATTACATACATGCAGTTGCCATGTTTGAGAAGGGTGAATTTACTTTTTACTCAGCTGGGCCTTGATGCTCAAAGGCCAATTAGTGCTGACCCAATGTTAAATTTTAACCTGGGTTTCTTTAGTCATATATTCAAAAGCCTTTTTGAGATAATATTCTGTATTCTTTTTAGAGCATCCAATAATTATATTCTAGACAACAAGAATTCGACTGAATTTTCTTATAAGCTTTCAAATCTGAAATCAGATTTCACACCAACCCTGGGTTATCTAAAACCCAGCTTTGAACAACCTGGCCCTGGTTTACACAAGCTGAACGGAATCTCAGACTGTTGTGTGACCAAGTGCTCAGATCATTTCAGTCCTCACAGTTTTTTTTTTTGTTGTTTTTATCTTAAACTCGAGCATGCACTTTATAATTACCATTCTCCCCTTCCTGTAGTAAAAGGTGTACATCCTTGTCAGGACTATTTCTAATGACATGAGCAACAAAGAGTCTATTAGGTATTTTCAGAAGACAGGGAGTCTGTCTAGATGATCTTATATCCCTATAATTGATTTAAATTCGACGTAGGATAGACTGGAATCTTGCCAAAAAGTGATCTTAAACGCAAGAACCAAAGGCTTGTCTTACGAATATAAGTAGTTCAAGTGCCGGATGGGTCTCGACATGTGCACGTTCTATGTCGATCTTTGCACTTCGTTCAAACGGAAGTAATGAGAGAAAATTTTAGAAACCTTTTCTAGCTCGATTTATTTGGTTGTATTTATGGAGATATTAAGTTGAGTGTTTCTCTTTTAAAGCTGGAAAGCCTTAAGATGCGCCCAGAGCGCTGGGGACGACGGAAATATGTCTGGAATGCTTTCGTAATGTGCAGAACCGTAATTTGATAACGGCTTCAGCTCTGATACAGCGCGTTGGTGATCCTAGACGCACGCATCAATCTTTTGCCGGACTATGACGCAAGCCCAAATTGCCAAGTTGAAGATTTGCTGTTATTGAAATCAGCTCTGACGGAAGTAGTACAGAAACTTTCTTTCCGCAAAATAATTTAAAAACGATAGCCCGTTACCCAGCTTACGACTTCCGCTCATGCATTCCATATAAGGGACTTGAAGTGGAGGCAAGCGCCTGGTGATGTGACTTCGCACTTGCGTCCAGTCTTATTTGGATTACCTGGTGTGTTGTAATTTCTTGAAGGTGGAATACGTGATCACTGAAGAACAGAATACACTTTGGATAACCAGGTTAGTACTGATTGCCATATTTGAGCGCGCGAACTGCATCCCGTTTGAAAGTTGATCGATGCTATCGGCGACTAACTAACTTCTCACTGCATCTTTGTCGATTAAGTTTCGTTATTTTCTTTCATTTAAAGTTGTATCCTTTGGCAAACATCGTACTCGTTTCGAAAGTCATCTGATAGCATTCATTACTCTGAAAAACCTTATCGCGACGAAATTCGGCAATCGCAATGCTGACACGAACGTCGAACAAAGTCAACTGCTGACACCCGTCTAGCTAGGTAAAATTAATTTCCTCCTAATTAATTTTGAGTACTTCATGAGCGTCATAACTAGCAATCGTTATTTTGATTATGAGTGCTTACCAGATAGTCATCAAAACTCGGGAGATTCTGGTTTCACGCTAGGTTTTGCTCTCTAAAGTCACAGGACATAAATTTCTTGATCTCGGCGCCGGGTTATTCGAGGTCGAAGACCATCGATTTAGCTGTCGTAAACAAGTTTCCACCCGGAAGTGAAAGAGGGAAAGATAGGTTGCACGTTTGTATACAGCTTCAACAAATGCTGTAGAGAAAAGTAATATCCGAAATATTCGTCAGTACCTTAACAGGGATTCAAAACTACATATTGTCGGTTCAGGAGCGCTATTTCTGGCTGTTATTTGAAAGGAAAAGCGCATTGGTAACCTTTCAAGTCTCTAATAGTTTTATTGTCAGCCAAAATCGCAATAACGAACTCGAATGTGAAAATATCGAGAGAGAGAGAGAGATTATAAGCGTAATGACGTTTTCCTCGACTATTTTGATTAAATCAGCCTGGTAACTTCTTGTACACTTCACTGCCTAAAATCTGCTACTCCACCCCTAGTAAAAAAGATATATTTCATTAGTGTGAAATTAAATTTTTGTTACTCACAATATTATTCATATGCCAAAAACAATCTTAAATTGTGTAAATCAAAATTGATCACTTGCCAGCAGTAATATTATCAGATCCTATATTGTATTTATGAATCTGCTCTTTCCTAATTTACCCTTCCTAATAGGCAATGCATTCTCAAGATCTTGGGAATGATGAAGCCCTCGTGAATGGTAAGTGTATTGACACATGTAGAAAATTAATTCGAAAGTCTTGAAGCATTTTGGAGTGGTAAACAGTCATATTCGTACATAATTTGGACTGATAAATTTTAGTAGCTGAGTGAATGTTGGGTTGTATAAACACAGTGACATTCTGATGAATGAAATGAACTGCTTTTGATAATTAAATGATGCATCAGATAGCTATTCAATTGAGTAATTTAACACCAAAGCTAAAGTAATGAGCAATAGCCAATCAAACTAATGAAAATTATCAAAAGGAGCCAATAAAAGTAAAAACGAGCATTCAACTCCTTTAAGAATGGGAAAATCATGAGTGACCAAGTGGTAATTGGTTTTCCTTTTGCATCTGATCAATGAAAATGGTGGTGAGAATTTTCTGCACTAGTCACAGAATGAAATAAAGTAATCCAATGCAGTCATGTCATTTTCGACACATGGTCAAGATTACCTTTTCAGTCAAGGAATATGCCCCATAGAACAAATATTTTTGAGCTCTTGCCATGCACTGCTTTGAGTTTTTGCATGTGGCTACCTTCGTAATAAAATTTGGAAGCAAATTATAATTTTTCTTTGAAGTTATTTTTGCATTTTTTGGGGGATACTAAAGAGATGGCTATTCAACCTGTCTATGTATGTATGATAATGTATGTATGTAATGTATGTGTTTGTATTGAAGAAATTTTGGATTAAATGTTGTTGATGTTTGTTATAGATCCTTTGATTGTCAAGGCAATTATCCCACCAAGAGTTCAGAACGATGTGAGTGTAAAGCAAAATTTTAGAAAAAGAGAGATTTTTTCTTTTATAATGATCCACTGTATGGTAAATTGGAAATTTTGTGGATAAATTCTCATTTCTTTGAAAATATAATTCAAAGTCTTTGTAGATTTAAATTTTTACTGTTCAGTATGAAAATTTATATATTTATATTGTCTTGAATTCTTAAATGAATGTTGCATGATACATTTTGTTTATGTTCAGTCTATAAATGGATAATAAAATTCTCTAATTTCATAAAATATCTGTTGACATTCAATACACAAATGCAGTGAGAATAAATGGAAGATCCTAAGTGGATGTCATTGAATCTTGCAGGTAAAAGAGGAAATAGTGATTGTTTTTAATAAGCGCTTACCTTCAAAATCAAGAAGTCCATTTTCTGTTGATTTTGTGGGGACGGCTGGTGCAGTTCAAGTATCTGCCAAGCAGTTGAACAGCTCAACCCTGATTTTGGAGACACCAGGTGGGTACCAAGTCATAGGTGGCTAAAGTTTTTAAGAGACGTGCACTTGGTGTATTTCCAACAGAATAAAGAGTGCAAATCCTGTGTCTGCTTTACCTCCCAGTGGTTTGGCCACGGATGGGGCAGAGAGGGAGGGACATTCTGAGGTTTACCAAAGTCAATTTTTCCACCCTTAAAATTAGATATCAGAAGTTTTTTTGTTTGTTTTTTTTTTCAGTTGGCCAGCATTTTAAGCATGATCTATTCAAGTAGGCATATGGGTAGTCATATTAACAACCACCTGGTTGTCAACAGGACTGAAAATTGATTATCAGTGCCCGGGTTAATGTTAAGGCTAGTCACAAGCAGGCAGGCAACTCACTTCAAGTCTTGCCTTAATATTTGTGTGATCCAGAACTCAAGATGTGAAGGTCTATGTAGTTGATGACTTTTTAATGGGCTTGAGTTTTATTTTAGGAGTTGGACTTTTTTGTGTGCAGACAAATTATTCCAATCTGGTAACTAAAACAATAATACATATTTGCCATTTGGCATCTATAAAAGTAAATTCTGGTCCATTATGGCTGGTATAGACCATCCAAAATAATAACTCCATCTCTTATTTATATATTAATGTTAGCCTCGCAAAAAAACTGCCATGCTGTAGCATTGTAACATGGACTTATATCTTTTATTTCTTAAGAATATCCTGTGGCCAGTGTTGTGACAGCCTATGTCTATCATGGAATAAATCGTAGATTGTTAGGCCAACATGCATTTGAATTTCTATCAAGAAGTGACACCTTCTACAGACTGCTGTACACAGAACTGGATCCTGTCAAGTTCATGTGTGAATCGCTGAGTCTGTCCTCAACTGATGTCCTAAGTCTGGATTGTGCTTTGGCAGACACATTTACCTCAAATGCTCCTGAAGGATTCAATTTCCTAGGTATCCACAAGAATACTGAAGGTGAGAGTTTCATTGCATGGAGGTGAAAGATTATCTTTAGTTTGAGCCAAAATTGTTTGACATTCACTAATTCAGCTTTCCTGCTCAATTTACATCATTTTATTAGTGATTTTTATAAGTTATTTCTTACTAAGTATTATATCTTTTGTCAGCTGGAGAATCAACTGCTGAGCATCCAACTCTTCTGCACTTTGCAGCACAATTTGGATTAAGCAGGCTCATTGCCACCCTTTTGCATTATCCTGGAGCTCAAGAGGCTTGTGCTATAAAGAATTATCATGGGAAATGGCCATACAACATTGCCGAGGATCATGGTTTTAAACAATTGGCAGACAATCTGCGTACTTTCCGTGTAAGTGTTAGCTCAGCTTGATTCAAAGTGTAAATTAAATAGTGTTGTAAATTATTTACACATTAGCCACTAATTGTGCAATTATGAAAAGAAAATGGTGATTTTATTAAATGTAGATGTGATCCTATTTTTTTAATTTAAATTATAGTATAGTGTTTCTTATAAATCAAGAAATTGAAGATGGAAAATTTTGAAGATGTTCTATGTTTTTTACAAGGATGGACAAATAAAAGAATTTGAGTCTTGTTAATTTAGAACTCTAGCCATAGATCTTGGGATTTCATTGTCCATTTACAATGAGCCAGTCAGAACTTATTGGTAAGGAAGATCTAAATAGGGGATCAGAAATGTTGATAGGATTGTTTGAAAGTGTACTTGACAACCATTAGCTCAAAATACCCCTCTCTTTCAAAGAGTTGTCTCTAGTCAATAACAATGGTAATGATAGTGATGGTACTTTTGCAAAGACCGTAATGATGATGATGATGATGATGATGATGATGATGATGATGATGATAATAATAATAATAATAATAACAGGAATAAATTTAATTAATTACTGTAGTTATCATCTTTATCATTATTACTATTGATGTTTATATATATTTATTGATTATTTACATCAAGGACCAAGGAGATCCAAATCAGATCTATGCTGACATGGGTGATGAAGATGGTTACTATGTCAAAATGCAAAAGGATGATGGTTCATACAACTATGTACCCATGGGAAGAGAGGGCCATGGACTGTATATGTATATGAAAGGAAGGAAGTACATAAATTTGGACAAACAAGAGGATGAGGCTGGTTATTATGTGAAGATGCGCAACAGTGATGGATCTTATAATTATGTTCCTGTAAAGGGAGAGGAAAGCCACAGTGGTAAGTTATATGAAGATGTCAATGAGAAAGGGAAGTACAAGGTCACTCAACGATACACGGAATCTGAAGAGAATGAAGAGGAGGATGCAACATATGCAAATTATCAAGCTGAAGTTGGCGCTGATGAGGAACTTTATGAAGCAATGGAGGGCAATCCTGAAGGTGAAGAAACACAAGATGATTTTTACATGGACATGGAAAGAGAACGAGGAGAAGAGGATCCCTCAGAATTTTACACATCAATGGAGTCTGTGGGTAAGTTGATATAAGTACTATAAAGATGGGAAAAGAGAGCATTTTAGGAGCTTGGTGATTTAGTGAATGATTATGTTTTTCATTTAGTGAAACTACCTTACTTATAGTATTCATTAAGCAAAAAAAGAAATTCTAAGTGCTCCTAACAGCTGTTGAACCATGACCTTCTAATATGTAACTACATGTGGTCTCTGGATGCTAAAGAAGACTTGAAGATTCAGCATTTAATATTGGTCAGTGTTACTTTTGTGCAGTGAATAGGTTATATATTTCTGTTAATAATATATAGTATTGCAAACATTCACCAATTGTCTCCTGTACACATTTTGCCTTTGAACCTACAAATTTGTAAATGTTCCTGAACACTTCATCTATTGTATATTTAATGGTAAGAAGTATATAAATTAAATTATATAGCAAACTGAAAAATTAGAAAGAACAACCTTCTAGTGTGTCTTAAATTCTGTTAGGGGGTATATTTTTCAAAAGGGCCTTGCTAGCTGAGAAATGTTCTGTAACGTCAAGACATTTATCATCTCTTTACTAACATAGTGGAACAACCAGAGGTTCCTCCTGGTTATGTTACACCGAAGTCAAATTTACCAGTTCATCCGGATCCAGGATTTTACCGCTCTGCCAGCATGGCTGCAGCTATTAGGGCTAAAGAAATTGAACACGAGAGGAAGACTCAGACCTTGCCACCAATAAGAGGTTTCTACTATAATAATTATTTACAACATAGCAAAAATAAATTTCCAAATCCATGCATGTAAAATTTAAGACTGTTAGCCATAGGCTAAGCATTTCTTTACCAATATATTTGAGACTTCCTGCCCAAAGTATCTACTATATTCGAATTCCTCACACTGAATAAAATTGCCAATTTAACCCTTCAATCAGATGTTGAACCAATAGCCTTTTGAGTAGTGGAAGAGGAAAAAATATCAATAACTTTAAGATAATTAGCAGTCTGAATTATTTAAAACCAAATTCTTAGAGCTTAAGATCATATGATAATATGATGATATTGTATGGTAGACATTGAACAAAATTCATAGCGGGATCTTAGGAGTGAAAGGGTTAAGAGATGGATAGCGTTTTGCAGTAGTGATGAATACTTTCAATATTTACAATTATCATGATTACTATCCCTGATACTGACTCTCTCTGGCACTTTAGCACGAGTTGCAAAGTTGTTAGACTAAGGCTGCAGCTAGTTAATAGATAATTACTAATATTAATTAATATTATTATTAATATTATTATTAATATTATTAATATTATTATTATTATTATTATTAATTAATATTATTAATATTTACAATTATCATGATTACTATCCCCGATACTGACTCTCTCTGGCACTCCAGCACGAGTTGCAAAGTTGTTAGACTAAGGCTGCAGCTAGTTAATAGATAATTACTGAGGCAGTCAGCATTATGAGATATATTGCAGCCAGCTAAGGGCATAGCCTGAAGGTGGCTGCAATATATCTCATAACTCCAACTTCTGCAGTAATTATACATTGTAATTGCTGACCCATTGTAAAATCCTGTTGTGCTCCCTCCGGGCATGTACTAAAAACCAGAAACAGCAAAACTAAACAACTGAAACAAAACTAGTGAAACAGGAGAAATGACCGAACAAAATGACCAAAATAATTAGAAAATTAAAAAAGAAGGAGTCAATAATAATGAAATGAATGTCCAGAGGTGTCAGGTTTCAGCCATCTTATTCATGTGGTTTTGATTATGGTCTACTCCTGATCTATCTTACAGGGAAACTCAGTTATCTCTTGATTGCCATTGACTTGGCATGAGGCCTCGAGGAAACCTTAATTTAAAAAATAATTAATTAAAAAATCATTGTCAATGAATACCTTAATCTGTTTTCCTCTCCTTTCCATATATGCTTTGGTGTTTGATATGGCTGGCATTCCATTTTGGAAAGTCCATATAAGTGTCAACTTATAGTTTCCAGCCCCAAGTTTTAAAAGCCTTAAATGCAAGAGAATGTCTGATGTAAATTCTACATTTTCCATGACATTTCATCCTCCACTTGTTTCGATCATTGTAGTGGTTCTGTTTTGGTTGTTATGCTTGTTTCATTTGTTTTGTTTTGGTCATTTCGTTTCACTGTTTCTGGTCTCAATACATGCCATTTTACTGGGCCCAGCTTAAATTAATAAGCCTGAAAAAGGAACTGGCAAATCAATTTCCAAGTGCCAGCTCTAAAGAAAAATACTACTGTAAGAATTGCAGTTGTTTTATTTTTTGATCTTAGGCAAGATGTCACAAGAAGAACTCTTACGAAGAACATTAAAACAAAGCGGAGTTTATACAAGTGAAGCAATTGAAGACATGGTGAGCCGTATGCATGTGAGCAGCTCATATTCTGCGGTAAGGAGGAACAACTATTGAAAAGAAATTGTGCCTGGTCCACTGGATCCTTATCATAGATACTACAATTTAGCCACAGCTTTATTAGTGATATCGATCAGTTACTCATGTCATGTCGTAGCTTAATAAGATGCTGAATATGAACAGCGAAAAACAGTTATGTTGTTTAATTTAGTGAAAAGATTTATATTTATTACAGGCACCAATTCTAAGGACAGGTTCAACAAGTTCAAGGAGCTCTATCTCAAGTGAGTACAGTTTGTGTGGAACATTACATGTAGCTCAGTGGAAAATTGCTAAATTTGTCATTGATAAGAGACAGTGGTTACAAACTATAATTAAGAATCGTTATCATACTAAGAACTTTTGTTAACAAATGTAGTCGAATATAGTGGAAGAAATTACAGGAGTCTTAGTGCTTTGAGATTGGCACAGTTGTATTGATTTCTTGGATTGCTGGCATAAATTTTCCAATTATGAAGAATAAGAATAGTTGCTTGCATTAGCAAGGTGATTACAGAGATGTGTGTGCTCTGAGTGGTGGAAAGGTACATGTAGGTTGCATATCCTATTGTAATCACTTTATGCAATGTGATTAAAATACTGTGAAGCAGTAATTTTCAAGATGACAGCCACACAAGTTGATTTTGACTCAATCTGATAAATTGCGTCAGCAATAATATACCTAAAAACAGTAATCTTCACAGTCTTGGTCTCTCTCTGAAACTTTGAAACCTTGATAACCCTTATAATTAAAGTAAAATGTTTGTAGATCCCTTTGGGTAGAGAAGGCTTTTTACATTGCTAATGCTGTAAGCTCTTGCAGCTGTATATATATATATATATATAACTGCAGACAGTACTGTTTCGGCCTTCTGGGCCTCATCAGTGCAGTGCTGATGCTAGGATGGAGGTAAGGCTATATAGCCACCCCAAGTGATCTCACACATGTGGTATCATCTAAGCCATGCCAGAGTGCTCAAATTAGAAAAACTAGTGAGCATGCATAATGCTAGCAGCAATGACTCATCCTAGTAGAGTGCTCAATTTGGACATGAAAGCAAAAGCTTTGTATGCCAAAGAGCTATATCTAACTGCAGAATACATATGAATAACTATGAATAACGAATAACTATGAATAACTATGAATAACTATGAATACATATATAGATAAAGTGGACTTTTTCTTTGACACTTTTTTTTCTTCCAGCTATCAGCAGTACTGGTAGTGGAAGTAGCAGCAGTAGTGGGATAAGCTCAGGAAATGAGGTATTTGAAAATAGCTGAAACCAAGTTTCAGGTTTCTTCAAATTATCTTGTAAAGGGGAGCACTTGATACTCTGGGGCAGTTGTGGTTATTCATTGTGGTGAAGTTCAACATTAATACACTGTTTACTTGTTTTTCTCACAATTTGTTGACTTCACATCAATCCTGACTGTGATGATACATTGATATAGGCAAGGTTTACATATTCAAGCTGGCAGTGTCCCATGTTGTGGGTGTTCTCTGAAATGGGGGAAGATTGAATATGAAAAGTCAGCCCGGAATTCTATGTGGGAAAGTAATTTTATTTTTAAACAATTTATTAATTGCACATGACCGCTGTGTTTAACTTACAGTTTATACACCATCAAGAGGACCCTAAAGATGTATGTCTTTTACAAGAAGAGGAGTAAGTATTTAAATTGAGTGAATTTAGCCAATGGAGGAATAAAAACATGTTGATGTTAAAATTACAAGGTATAGTTAATTTGTGTAGTGAAGTGTAACTCATGATAAATATTTGGATCTTTCAAATTTCACCCTTTGTCTCAAAAAACTGCACATTGTATTTTCACTTAAATTTATATGTGCAGTATAATAATGACTAATAGCTATTTTGAAATCATGGATTGGAAACTCAAACATAAAGTGCCATTTCAACATATGCCTCAGAAATTAAACAGGGGTGTATAAACTTTCCTTAAAAAACATTCCACCAATGATAAGATCCATACAATATAAGAATGCTTAATTTAGGGTTCTTACTAAGGTTTTGAATAACAAGGACAAAGTTTGAAGAAGAGGGAACCGAAATGGTGACATATCCATGATGAAATGCTCAGTTATATGATCCAACGACTAATTTTAAGGGCACTGCAATGATCAATTGTAACTGTCACAAAGTTAAATCACAAACTGATCATTGCAAGTATGCAAAATACCTAACATTAGCGATGAAATGAATAATGAAGGATTTCAATATTTAGGAAATGAGGTACAAATACTAATGACAACTAATTGCTTGAAACTCTTTACTCTGTCGAACTAGCCAAGACATAAATTTATACATCCTTTAAAAACCCTGCAACTAGATGTCCAGGACAACATTTTTAATTTTGTCCTGTTTTCCTTTGCTTTTTAGAATACACCTCACTCGAGAAGAACTCTTTCAGAAGTGTAATATTAAGCCACACAAATCAAAGGTAGATTGATTATTCTTGCAGGGGAAAATATTATTGATAGATATTTAGAAACAGCATTCTGAATGCTAACATTGCAGTCTTGTTACTGCAGGTATGGCTTTAAGATGTATACAGTTAACTATAACTTTATAGTTGTATAGTTACTGAACATTCAATAAGCTTATGTCAATCATAAATTTAAAGTATTTCCAAACCTTAAGCATGGCAAAGCATACTATTATTTTGATGCACCATTATGACAAATTGCACCATATCTTCTAATTTTTATTCTTGTGTTTGTGCCTCAGAAACATTTGTATTCGTTGTTGTTAGTTTAAAAAGCACCTGTTGTTCAAATTTTATTTTCCCAAATGCGCAGCACCCCAAGTTATGTCACTCATAATTTATCAGTTGTTGCCTTCACTGATATTATAGAGTCATGATGATGACACACAAACTGGAGGTGCCCCACCCCCCCTCCCACGCCCAGACTATGATAAAAAGGAGAAAATCACAGGTTGGTTGTTATCACTTTTGATAGATTTTCAAATTTCATCTATGGTTTTTTATTATAAATTTCCTCAAATCAAAGAGGTTACTTTTTAAAAGATGAGCTTTTTCAGAGAAAGTCTCTACATAATCTACAGATAATTCTATAATATTGCAATAACTTTCACTAACTTTTGATTCAGAAGATTCTCTTTTGAAACTGTTGTAGCTAACCATATTGGCTGAATAATGAAACTGTGTTTAATTCATAGTGCATATGGAAGTGCAAATAATTCTAGAATATGATTTAGTGAAATGACTCAGATGTCCAATTTTATGGTTTTTAGAGAGCTCAGCGAGGAGGCCTCATCCAAGATCAAGACCTGGTACAACACCTGTGGACAAAAGAGATCTTGAGGGATTAATCAAACCAGGGCCTCCTCCTCCTGTAAAACGACGGAGCAGTGAGCCGGGTGAGGCTACCTTTTTGTTACAATTACAATAAAAGGAATAAATAGTATTAAAACCATCAATTTTTCTTCATTATCCAAACCAAGCTGTAAAATGATATGTTTTCACCAATTGACTTGACATTGGGTTCTGTTAAAGCCTTTGGGTTCTGTTCAACAGTGGTTATCGGTTAAAACTTTAACAACTGAAGGAAATGTCAGAGTGAGACTTTCTTTATCATATGATTGTTTCTATTTTTCAGCAACCACAGTTTTAGATCTCCATTCCAAGGTAATTTTAAATGCATTGTTTATAATTAATCTGTTCAGTAGTGCTTTGATTTTACTTTACTCATATTGATACATATATATATATTTGTGTAAACTTGTCTTATCAAAACCATAGTAACCAATTTCCTTTGATATATCTTTTTCCTTGAAACAAAAAACACCAATGACAAATCTACTACCTCAGTATGAGAGAGCTCCTGCCCGTATCCCTGAGGAAGATCCTCCACCTCCTCCTCCTGCTCCCCGAGGACCTGTGCCTTCACCTGATGACTTAAGGCAGCCTAGAGCAGCACCAAGACGACCAGTAGGAAGTATTGCATTACCAGGTTTTCCCGGTATGTACAAACCTTCAGTCAATATATATGCAAAAGCATTCAATCAGAATGAAAACATGCTCCAATGTTTTCCTATGGACATTATAGACAACTCCAAAACAACTTAACTTTAACTTTAACTTTATTGAAATTTGTTACACGTACAGAATAGTATCGGCAACTGGAGAAAAAAACAGGATGATGTCCCAATTGATGTTCAACCAATTGATGTTCAACCCCAAAACTTTGTTATGAAGTCTGCCATACACCATTCAAACAAATGATTTCTACCCTACATGCCAAACTATTACACAAATTGGTCGAAACCATGGACTTTATCTTGTAGAATGTTTTCAAAAGTGCATTAACAAAATGAATGACTGAATGCCTACAATTTGGTACTGCCTTTTAATTTGAGGTTAATGTATGAATTGATATCTATTGATTTTAAAATCGCTTTTAACAGAATGTACTAATTTACTTTCAGATACACCCCCTCCTCAAATACAACCAAGGGTTCCACCACGTGTTCCTCCTAAGTAAACGTGTCAGTTTACAAGCTATAATATTTTTCTTAACCAGAGAGTTGATTTTAAAGTCTTTAAAGATGTTATATTTAGTTATAATGAATTAAATATAAATGGAAGGCTTTATGTGTAGCGTTCTAAGAAGACTAACAATAACAATTAATTGAAGTTCTTATATGGTTTTTAACATTTTGGGCTTGTAATCCATCATTACTTACGATTTAGAAATTAATTTATAAATAATGATTTTTTTTTTTTATCCCAGTAAGGTTGAGTGTAGATTGTACAATCAAGTAGTTTATGGCAGAAAACACTGGTAACAGTTATAGAGTGTCAGACAAGAACAATAGCTTAGATTAGTTTATCATGTATGACCAGCAGGACTGGTCATGTCGTTTATTTTACACACTTAATTAGTTCCTTGAACCGAAATGAACATTTATCACCAGATATTCTTGAAGTGGGGTCGATTGGCAAAAAAATGTTTATGTAGTGTAGGTATAAACTAACACTCACAGGAACTGAATTGGTTGTTGTTCATTTGCTTGTCTGTGTGTGGTTGTCTATTTTTTTTTCTGTTGTTTCAGATGATAATTGAATAGAAGGAAAATTTCCATGCCTTCCAGCTTTTTTCTGAGATGCAGTTGTGAGACTTTCCGCAAGGGTGTGTGAGGATTCCAGAAAATTATAGGACAATATCCAAAGCCGTGAAAGGATAATGGAAGACATCTAAAAAAAAACAAATTGAAAAAGCTTTAAGTTTGAAGTAAATTAGCTTTACCTCTGAAGCATGCTGACCTCAGATCCAGTTGATCCAGTTGATCCAGTTATGTGAATTATTTACGAGCATAAGTGGGCATGAGTTTGGTGCATTACCAAACTTTTTTTAGGGTGAATTTAATGGTGTTAGGGGCGGTTCTGTTCTGACCATGATTGATAAAATGGTACTAAGTGCTAACCAAGCTAGGCTAGGCCTTTTGTAAGCATAAAGATACTTTTTGCCAATATGTTGCTATATTAACTTAAGATGTATTAGGTAAGTATTAATATTAAGTGGTTCATAATTTTTTAAGACAATTGCATGAAAAAATTTTCTACACTTGAACTTGAAGCGTGATTTAGGGTTATTTTTCACATTTTTTTGAAAGTTGTGAGTCTTATTTTGTATAAACAACTTGATGCAGTAACACTGCTTGGTTAATCAATCAAATTAGACTGAATGCTACTCAACAATTTGAGACTTGACAAAGGAAGTTATTGTACTTAAATAGTGGCTTACATAAAACTTCATATGGTGCAATAGGTCATTTAACGTACAACATTATAGTTGAATCAATGTGTAGGAATGATAGAAGCCCATTTTGCTGCTTTAGTTTACCCAAAATAACGTATTTTTACAGATATATAGTTTTTCACCTTGAGAGCGACATATAATGTATTCTTTAATAAGTAGGGTAGAGTATTTTTTTGAGTGAGGGATTCGAGTTCCCGTTGCATAGGGAATGAAGCTTTCATGCCGTTTCTACCATAGTTAATATGATTATTTTATTTCTAAACGGGTATAATAAATATATTTTCTTAGAGTGGATAGCTTTTAAGAAAATCGTCTCGCTTTGAAATCGTATTCCGTTTGCCTTTGTATTTTACACGGATAGCCGATTAAAATTATTTTTACCATTATTTTGATACGCTCTTTCTTGAGTATTTCTAAGGAAACAGCTATACTACATGTACATGACACCTCTTATATATGAATATGGATATCAATTACAAGGCGGCGCGCACAGAAAAAAAGAAGACATGATTCAAACTAGTTCTCTATAAAAAAAAATCTAAGTTAAATTAATGAAACTCACCTTCAATATGCAACGTTTGTTTGGGATTTTACTTGCAGAGAGGGAAGGCAGAGCTCGAGGGACTTAAGCCCCCCACTTTTTGCGAAGGAGGACGGCATTTTATTTTGTTTCAGTATGAGATTCCTGTGAGGTCGGTAAAACAGAAAGAAAGAGAAAACAAAAAAAGTCCGGTTCATCGCAGATTATTCCGCGAGATCGCGATGAAGGTGGATTTCCTGTAAAAATTTAGTTACTGTCAGAAAGAGGATACTACACGGTGGCGGGAACTTTTCGACAGAAAATATCTCATGGAGAATGTAAAAATACAATTTTTGGGACTCTAAATTTCAAAATTTTCTGGGGGATGATGGGCTCGTTTTTGACCCCACCCGCCAGTTGAGAATTGGCTCCGCAATCCCTGACTGAGGCCCAGAAGTGAGTGAAGTAGTATTTATTTCCCCGTTAACTGTGCAAAGCGCCTCATGAGTTGGCAGCCATTTTGTTATTTAAGTTGTATGTTGCAAGGACAGATAATGCACCTTAAGGAAGCATGCGTCATACCTGTCTCAGCGCCAGAATCCTCCCACCCTCTTTTTTTTTCTCTTTGTACGCTTGCTCTGATCCAAACAATGTGGTAATACTTGCTTACTCGTTCAATTTCCCTTTACGCGTTAAACAATTGGCACGTCGAAAACGTGTCGAGGGTAGTTCCTTTGTTCCTAAATCTTTACTTTATTCAAAGCCGGGCATACATTCTGGTTGTGATCGTTTCAGAATGGCAATAGTTCAACAGAAAAAAGAGATCGTAGTGCTAGAACATGTGTGAGTTCAAAGTTTACGATATCAGCGCAGTTTCACATGCATCTTACAAATGATTGTAATTCTTCATAATGTTTTGAAATGACCGGAACGACGACCGGAACCAGGGTCCTCAATCAAGGTTAAAGAGCGCATGCACGGGCCAGGAAACATCGATGTTATGTTCATTGTCTGTTTTCTGTTGCTTATTCAGGTTTAGAAAACCGGAAAACATATAAATCATCAGTATGTTAAACCACTATTGTTACCAGGAAATGAAGATAAAAATTTCATGAACTACACTTTAATTTGGTTACATTTTAAGAGGGTTTCAATGGGGTAATGGCTTTTACGACCAACAGATAAAATCTTGGCCATTTTACGGCTAATGGTTAATAACTTTCCGGTATCATTAACATAAATGTGAAATAATAATATCAATTATTTTAAAAGTTAACAATTGATTTTCAATGTCTTAAAACACATTTATGAACGGTCGTTTATTTCTTGGATGACGCGTCGTAGATGGGAAAAATTTTTATGATTAACTTTTTTTACGACTAGCGGTTAAATTCATTAAATTTTACGCCTAACGGCATTTATTGATTAAATATGTGTTAGTAAACCTTCCACCCGGCTGACAAGTCTTTGTCCTTGTATATCTACAATCCTGTTCACAATCAAATGATCTGACTAGATTTCTGCGAATTCTACTACCGAAGGTGCATGTCTAGCCCAGTCACCCGAGTGGCAGTTGTGTGGTGGACTCGTCCCTCGAGGGGGACCATGTCTGAGCGGGAAGTATACAAATTAAACTATTATCAGCCTCCATACTGATAATCTTTCGCATTCCAACTCTTAATGTATAAATTCCTGATTACATAGTAAATATGATTTGCTTCCTCTCAGTCTGCTTTCCCAAAAGAGAAGTGAGGGATGGATGATTGTTCATATTCTTGGAATACGATTATTCCCCATCAAATGTGTGCGGGTGTCGATTTTTACGTCTTCTGACTAGCACGCCTTTCCTTTGGAAACGACTTGATGCTTTTTGGTCTCTCCACTTCAGTTTTCTTTCCCGTATATGAAGGAAAACTTGACTTACAGCAGCTCTGCCCACAGTAGGATGGGCAGAACTGTGGCGCATGCCGCAAGCATTGCACCGGGCAGGCCGGCTGCGAGGGCATGGGTGGAGGAGGCGGATAAGGAGCCGGTGCTGGAGCGTAGACAGGAGAAGCGGGATAAGAAACAGGTATTGCTGGAATTGTGGGACCCACAATGACCTGAGGAGTTGGAGCGACCGGTTGAATAATCGCAGGAGGACTACACGGAATCCCAGTCGAGCAAGCAATGCTGCATGTAGGAGGTGTGCAAGGAACTGGGCACCCCGCGGGTTTGCAGCCTGAGAAACCAGGTGGAAACTTAACTCCTGCGGGAGAAAGACAGAAACGCAAAGTTATTTTTACCCACGTTAAGCTTCGGTACCTTCATGTGGTTCATCCCTTGACGAGAATAGTTCCAACTCCAGTATAAAAGGGACTATATAACTATTGAACCTTTGTTGCGATTTTGGTACCCAAAACAAGCTGCTTGCCACAACAGGGTGGTTTTACATGCACGTCTTCTTTCTGCAGTTGCCTTTTTCCGTTAATCTTTATTGTAGGTGGTTTATATATCAAATGCGTGACTTTCTACCGACTCACGGGCTCCTGTACTATTATTCAGAAACTGCCATAACTTGTGGCAAATTACTCACCTGTCCCATTGTACAGCCTCAGTGGTAATTTATCAACTGGAATTCCTCCCATAAATCCAGTTTTCAGTAAGTTTAGTAACAGCTGCACGGGGTTAGGTATGGTGTTTAAGAACCTCAAGTAGAAATCTACCAAGAGACTGCCGGGACTGCCAGAGAACAAAAACAAGAGGTAATCAAATGCGATTAGATTCGTATTATCAACGCATATTAGAGCATATCCCGAGTATCGAAATTAATCTAGGAATGCTTTGATTTGCTCTCTTTCGCTCTGTAATTGGTCCAGAGAACTGGCGCCACTCTCTTAACCAATCAGATGCAAAACTAAAACCTATCACGACTTGATCGCACGCGTTTTCCCGCGCTTTAGGCAGTTTGATCTGTTTTACTTTGAGTTATCATCGGTTCTTAGAGGTATTTTCTTGTCTCCTCATTGGTCGTTGTGATCACCTTGGACTTTCTTTTACTATGCTCAATCGAAAAGCGTTTTAAATTACGGTCGATTTGAATCAATCAGGAAATCGCACGGAGGTTACTGCTTACATTTTATGCATTTCAAAATATGTCGACGCCCGACTTATACGTTACTGGGTCATGTTCTACTTACACCTATTGTATATAACTTTTCAGGGTCAACAGGCTTCTTACCGCTCATGAAAAATCAGAAGTTAAATTCTCTTTTTAGTACTGACGTGTAGAAACGGAATTTTTCGATTTTCGTAGAATTATCTTGTCTGGGTTATGATTCCAACCAGATCCGTAGTTGCAGGTGGCCGTAAAATTTCAGTAGCCTTTAAGGATGAATGCAGTTTTTTCGAGAAAGGCTTTCAGAAAAAAACCTATAAGTGCACGTAGAAACCCCAAAAGGTATTGTGATTAGTTTTCAGGTTACGGTTCCTTGACCTCACGATTTCAAGGAATCTGAGAAAATGTCATTGTAAGGACGAGGCATGGCAGGTTTGATGAATCTATTTATTTATTTGACTTATTAAAATTTATTGATTACCGGATATCCAGATTACTTTTTCAAGATTGTAGCCTGCACTTTCATCCTTTTATCCGACAACCTTTCTCCAAACAGCTGTATACACAATTCATCTATGCTGTAAGCCTATATACCTATCCAAATCTTTAATATTAAATGTTGGCCCTTGTTTTCCAATTATAGTAGTACCTACCGAAAACTTTGAACATTGCATTCTTTAACAGCTTTACCTCCCTGAATAGCTGACTTTAACTGGGGAAGAAAGCATTCGAACCAGCATTTTTTAAGTTCAGTTAGTTGATTCAGGAACGGGAAGAAGAAACGAATGTTTTGAAACAGTGTGAGGTACGCTTGTGCAACTTTTGAAATTACAAATGAGGCATAATTTACTTTTTTTGCAATGCAACAGGGCTGGACGATAAGCTGATAGGAAATTACAAGCTCTTATTCCATACTGATACTTTCTAAAGCCATTAGGGGACATTTGATTGGTCAGCGACGAGAGGGATCAGTGTGCTAGAAACAAGCAGTTTTTGGTTATTATTGATATGTTACCTTGTTACAGAGGTTCTTTGACAGTGTCTTGAACTGTGCTGATTTTTTATTGTTGAGTACAGGCTTGTGTGCAGCACTAGGTAATCTCACTACTGCATTGAACGACTTCTGACGAGAACCTTTCCACAGAAAGAGAGAAGAGTTATCTTCATGTGTCATGGTATGCTCCCGAAGTTCCATTGCTCTCCCCAAAATGTTTTATTTCCTTTCTTCCACGTTCGGCTTTTTACTTAGAGACCTAAACGTTTCCGTGGTGGATTATTATTATCCTTATAGCACGCATGGCCCTATGACTGAATTTGTTTCGAGAGACCGCTGTTCTAACCTCACTACATGGTACGTACGTACCTGGTTTATTTCCAACCGACGTTAACGACCCTGGTTTGGCGGTAGCGGCTGTTGTAGGTGTGGTGCCACCGGCTCCAGGCTTTGTAGACAAGGTCGGCTTTGTTGCCGCTTTCACTCCAGTTGCAGACGACGTCACTGATGGGGTCGCCAAAGATGTCGGAGCCACTGTTGGCTTACCGGCGGATTTGGCTGCAGCAGCTGCCTTAGCTGCTTGAGCCGCTTTAGCCTGGGCTGCTGCCTTGGCGACTGATGCTGCGTTCTTTGCTGTAGACGCCTTAGCGTTGGCTACCACTGCTGCGGCTGCTGCTTTATTTTTAGCTGCTGCTGCTTTGTTTGCTGCGGCTGCTGCCTTGGCGGCTGATACAGCTTTTGCTTTCGCTGCTGCATTAGCTTTCGCTGCAGCCTTTGCTGCATTAGCCGCTTTGGCTTTCACTGCATTGGCAGCAGCTGCTGCCGCCTTGGCTTCTGCCTGCGCCTTGGCATTAGCAGCCATTTTTGCCGCAGCTGTTGTTTTGGCTACCTGCGCTACTTTTTGTTGTTTTTGCGCGTGAGCCTTGGCGGCGGCAGCTGCAGTTGATGCTGCTACCTTAGCAGCGTTTGCTTTTTTTGCCGCTGCTGATGCTATGGCTGCTGATGCTCCTTTTGCTGTTGCTAGAGCTTTAGCAGCAGCTGCACTTTTCGCAGCTGCTGCAGCCTTAGCTACTGCCACTGCTTTGATGGCAGCTTGTGCCTTAGCAGCTGCGGCAGCTTTAGCTTTGGAAGCTGCCGCCGCTGCTGCCGTTGCCTTGGCAGCTGCCACCTTCTTTGCATTCGCAGCTGCTTTCGCTTTTGCAGCAGCATTAGCCGCCGCTACTTTTGCTGCAGCAACTGCTTTTTTGGCAGCTTGAACAGCCTTAGAGTTAGCCACAGCCTTAGCAGCTACTGCCTTAGCTGCTGTCACTGCAGTTTTGACAGCGGAAGGAGTCAGTTTCACTGTAGCTGCCGTAATTTTGGTCGTTGCCGCTGAGGTTGGCTTTGAATTTGCCACTGGTTTTACACCAAGTATAATTTTTAAGGGGAGCCCAGCCACGCCCGGACAGATGACATCGTTAAGGGGAGATGTGGCTGAAATTAGATGTTATGGGAATACATGTTAAAATAAAAAATAGTGATGTAGTCGTCGAAATAATGATGATATTTTAAATTACAGTCAGCAAAGTTGACTGTCTTCTAAGACGCACTCTGATTGTTGTTTTATTGCCTTGATATTGTAATATCGGGATACCAATGAAGCTCTCAGTTGAAAAGTGTCGTAACTGGCCTTATATTCTTACAGAAATGTCTGGGAAGATTTGTCATTGAAAATTAACACTGGATATTGACTTACTTGGAACTGTGAACTGAATAGACTGGTCCCCCAGACCATACGAATCTTCTAGAGCTGTGTGATTGGTTTAGAAAAAAGTTCCATCAATTCTGGACACCAAAGTAAGTTGACAAGTTTTCAGTTACATCGGCTCTCACCTGTGAGGTTTCGTTTTGTTCCTCCTTTTAAATAGCTACGTTTCCGCAGACATGGATCTGTGCGCAAAAAGATTTAAAAGGATATATTACGTACTTCCTCCCACATTACTAAGACGCTGGTTAAGTTATGAAATGTTAAATGCTCATTATACCTAAGGATACGGCGAAAGAAAATCTTCAGTTATATCAATCGGTGTGTTTGAGGTCAGATTAATGTCAGCCTCTAACATCCCTTACGTTCAGACTAACGATTGGTCTTGACTTCTGATTCAAAGCCTTGTTTTCTTAACTTGCTCCAAGGCTTTCAGGACAAAGAGAGCAAATCTAATGCTCAGTAGGGAGAAGCAATTGTATAGAACAAGGAGGAGAAGGTGGAACGACAGAGCCTCTGAAAATGTTTAAGACGCAGCTATCCACAAAACTTCCCTCCCCCCTTCCCTTCCCGAAATTATAAGACCACTAGCAGTTCTTCATAAAGCGAGTAAATAACAAAATATATCACAATATTTTCGTTTAGGCGACTGATGAGTGGTTAAGGATACTAGTTCTTCGGTAAAAAAATTATCGACAAATCTTTTTTTTTGTTGTCATTGAACGCGAAACACCGTTACCATGGTATCAGTCTCAACGCGAAACGATGCTTACCATTCGCCTCTCTTATGTTACGAATTTTGTTTCCATCTCTAGAACTTGTGGCAAACAGAGCTAGAGAGGCGGGATTTATAACAGCTTGTCCTTGGTCATCACGATGGAGTTTTATTGCGTCCTCCAGTCTTTGGAGAAAGAAGTGTTTGGTAGCTTTTCTCTCTGAACGGAAGGCAAAGTTAAATAATCGCTCAATTAACCTCTTGACTGAAGTATACGTAGCCGGACATCTTGTGCTTTCATGATTGTCCCTAAATGTGGCTGAATATGTCGTTTCATAGATAGCACACTTTTCCAATCGCAGTCTTTGCAAAAGCTCTACATTTGCTAGACTTATTTCTGGTCTAAACATTTGATACACCACTGTTCTTATATTGTGTCCATACAATTTCTTTTGTATGAAAGCAAAGGTGTTATTATGACAATTTCGCCGAACATACAGTCAGTAAATCTAAATCAAACACGAATCAAATTGAGCGGATTGGCTTCTTTATAATCCTAAAACTTTGTAAAACTGGCCCTGTCCTCATCAAGTTAACTCGGCCCGTTGCGACACCAATGGTGAAAGTGCTACGAGAATTGTGACAGTTGAAGTAGTAGCATTTTTTTTTTTGCGATGACAGCACAAAGGATGGAATGATCACTTTCTGTACCCTCAAGGACTCAAGTTGTTAGAGATGAATTCAAGTTTTCCCGTGTAGCTCCTTTGATCCTCTCCCCGCCGGTTAACTCGAACCCCTTGCTAACTCGAATAAGATCCGATTTCCCTCGGATTTGACCTCATTTTCCAGTCATTTACTATCGGCTAACTCGACCTCCCCGCTTAACTCGAATTAATTGTTCTTTCCCCTAGCTCAAATTTACCCAGATAACTCGAGCTTAAAGAAAAACGTCGGTCGCTAAACGTCACACTGTCAGAACATAGCTGATTAGTACGTCTCAACCTTCAGTCTGCTAGCTTAAATCCCGATTGATACAGACGTGATAACATTTATGAAAACTAATACATTTAACTAAACTTCCCAAACTCAATGTTCTTATAAAAAAGTTCTTAATTATGAAACAAACAAAATGTGCAAAATTGACTTTTGATAGTGCAAGAATGGTAAAGACATGATTCCTTACTAATCATTAACTGGATAATTGGAAGTCGAACACCAACCCCAACACTAGAACCATTTTTCGTTTCCCCTAGGAGTTCGAGTTAACGGGGTTCTACCGAATCTCTTAGAGTCCCATGATAAAAGAGCAAGCGATCATGTGGCAAACTTTAACTACCATATGATCAACGGTGCGCTAAATCGCCGGAAACTAGAATAAATAAAGTCAGCCTCATAGTGTTTAGCCTTGTTTGAAGAAAGTATTATCAGCTTTTAAATCTGGATATTTAGTTCGCCTATCTGGAAACTTTGTAACTTCCGGCTAACAAAGTGTAAAGGTGGGTAGCGCACTTTTAATTTTTCAAGATGCAAGCTAGTGCTTGCCGTTAATTTGCGGATGGTCATCCGACTTTTATTTATTTATTTATTATTTTTTTTCAAGAAAGCTACAAACTATCGGCTTGCTGGTGTGATTCGATATGTGAGGCCTAAGGAAATTAATATGACTGATAAAAAAAAAAAAAAAAAAACCCAATTCATACAAGACTTTACCATACAGTAACGTGCCCTTTGCTATATTATTGTTTGGAGACTAGGACCGTGCGGTCTGTCAATTTGCTTTTAATTTCGAAGAAATACCAGTGAAGCGGGTAGTGAAACCAGCAACGAGTCATTCTCTCGATTCTCTTTTGATTTTTTAATGCTAATTTGCAAATATAACCGTGCCTGCCCTTTCGACAACTCAGTAAGTGGTGATCTGCCAATTAACCTTTTTATAGCTCAGATACCATAGAAATCTTGAAACTTAAACATTATTTGCCATGAACTAGTCCTTATCAAGATAGAGTGTCACGTATCCGTCGAATCTCTTAACACGGCTTGTGACCGATAACTGATCGAGCCGTCGGTCGTAAGTCTATCACGCATCGATCGGTCTTTCGACTATTATTCGGTTATTGTTTCATTGGGTCGTCAGGTCTTTTAATCGTTCGGGCAGTCAGTCAATTAGGTAACACAGACAATTGACTTTTTTAAAATGAGGGCCTAACAGTAACAAATTTCTGCGCACCTGAAGTGCAGCGGCTTACACCGATACTGTACCCTGCGAATAAGCGAGCTCTTATTCACGCGGCGGGCCGGGAAGGACCAGTAAATGGAATATCTAGCACCAGAAGAGATTTATACTCCGAAAATTCCTAGAATTCACGCTTTTACGCAAACCTGACTTGCAAAGTTTTTATTTTTTT